ACCTCAAGCACTCAAATATCACGAGGCAGGCCACACAAAACCAGGAGATTTTAAAAAACAATAAATGTTGTTATTGACTTTCTGCTTTTTGAGCATTTGGAGGTCATGTTCTCCAGCTTTTCTCTGCAGCCACATGGGCTAGAAAAGAACAGGAGTCCTTGTGGCACCTTAGGCTAGGTCTACACTACAGCGGGGGGTCGACCTAAGATATGCAACTTCAGCTACGTGAATAGCGTAGCAGAAGTGGCGTATTTTAGGTCGACTTACCTGGCTGTGAGGACGGCGGCAAGTCGACCGCTGCCGCGCCGCCGTCGACTCTGCTACTGCCTCTTGCCGCGGTGGATTTCCGGAGTCGACGGTAGAGCCATCAGGGATCGATTTTATCGCGTCTTCACTAGACGCGGTAAGTCGATCCCCGATAGACCGATTGCTACCCGCCGATCTGGCGGGTAGTGAAGACGTGCCCTTAGAGACTAACAAATTTATTTGAGCATAACTTTTCGTGGGCTACAGCCCACTTCATTGGATGCATAGAATGGAACATATATTAAGGAGATATATATACACATACAGAGAACATGAAAAGGTGGGAGTTGCCCTACCAACTCAAATAGGCTAATTAATTAAGATGAGCAATTATCAGCAGGAGAAACAAAAATTGTAGTGATAATGACAAGAAGGTGTGAGGATACTTAACATGGGGAAATAGATTCAATGTGTGTAATGGCTCAGCCATTCCCAGTCTCTATTCAAGCCTAAATTGGGCTAGAAACTTACTCTTGTTTTTAAATGAAAGCAGAGATTCTCATGACTCCTGGAGCAGAGGCTTAAATAACACCAACTATTGCATGAGTTGCCAGATTGGGTTAGAAAATGTTTTTCCTTCTGCAAAGTGACACTATCAACTTACATATCACATTGATGTTTTGTTGCTGTTGTTACAAGCAACACCTAAGTATGGAAGGGGGAAATTTGTCCATTGAAAAATATGTTTGCTTTGTACATTTGATGATTATTATTTATTTTGTATTATCATAGCAGTTAGGAGCTACAATCATGAACCAGGACCCCATTGTGATAGGTGCTATACAAATACAGAATAGAGACGGTCCCTGCCACAAAGAGCTTGCAATCTAAGTATAAAGCAAGAGACAAGAATTGGATACAGACAGATGAGAGAACATGAGGAAACAATGAGACAATACTGGTAGTCTGTGGCATCAGCACACCAACTGCCTAGCATTTGTTTCATGTGTGATCTCTTTCCCTATAATCAGTTTTCGGGTTTGTTTGTATTTCATAAAACAACAAAGAGAGATGAAATCTTGGGAGCTGGCAAAAAAGGTAAATGTGTGATGTGGTATATTGAAAACTGTATTGAAATACCTTGAAATGTTCATGGGGTTTTCCTGTGCTGCACACAGGCTAGGGGGCTCTGTTAGAGAAGTGATCTGGGCCTAGCAGCAGCCAGTTTGCCGACAGAAACCCTAGAGTAAGGTGGGGTGAGTTTTGCCTTTCTGTTTTAGGAAGCAGCCTGCTTTGTCTCACAATATTTGGGGTTCTTGTGTGTTACCATTCTGAATTCTAAGAAATAATGTAGTGTGACATTACAACCTTCCAGAAAGAGTATTTATGTTTTTATCTAACTTCTCGGTATGACAGTAAAATAACAAAATGTGGTTGTGAAACCACACAAATTGGCGGGGGACACTTGGGTCCGTAGAGCACCTAAAACTCTTGTAATTACTTGTCTGAAACTGAGATTTCAAAGGACCAATAGCTCTTAAAGTCTCTCTTGTCTATCCACAATAGGGACCAGTGCAAAATTATTTCCTTCACTATATTCACGAATGCTTAAGGTCAGATCACAGCAATAGGGCTCCCATTTCTTGTCTTGGAAGACTAGGCCTGAGCCTCAGTCTTCTCACTGTCTCTAAATTTGTCCTGATATTCAGCTTATTTTCCTTTGCACCATCCCATCCTGTTACTTCTTGTTATGCCCCTTTTACCCAGAACAATCTCCGTCCTCTGCATTTATGACCTTCAAATGCAAATGTAGGGTTGCCAGTGTGGCCAATCTCCATGGTTTATAAATAATGATTCAGCCCTTGAAAAACTCATTAAATTGTCTTAAAATAATGAGATTGATACTGGAAAACTGCATCCAGTATCTTGTTATTTTTAAGACAATTTAATATTTTTGAAGGCTGAATCATTATTTTTAAACCCTGGGGTTGGAAACCCTACATTTGTATTTGAAGGTCATAAATGCAGAGGCTGGAGATAGTTCATGGGTTAAAGAGGGATAATGTAAAAGGGTCCATGATGTAAAAAGGATGTTGGAAAATGGGAGAGGATGAAGAAAAGAGCCACAAAAATTATGCAAGGACCAGAGAATATGACTTACAGTGAGAGATTTAAGAGTTCAATCTGTTTAGCTTCTCAAAAAGGAGGTTGAGAGGTGACTTGACTGCAGTGTATAAATACCTTCATAGTGAGAAAATACTAAAGGGCTCTTTAATCTTGTGGAGAAAGGCAGAAGAAGAACCCAATGGTGGAAGTTAAAGCCAGACAAACTCAAATTAGAAACAAGGCAACCGTTTTCCCCAGGAAGGTGATTAACCACTGGAACAAACTCCCAAGGTAAGGGGTTGATTCCCCATCTCTTGATGGCTTCCAGTCCAGGTTGTCTGCCTTTCAGGAAGATGGTAAGCAAACACAAATTATTGGGCTCAATGCAGAGGTAAGTGTGTGAAATATTCTGGCTTGTGCTATACAGGAGGGCAGACCAGAAGCTCTAATGTTCCCTTCTGGGGTTAAAAATCTGATTTTTTGTATTTTATATTACAAAATATTTTTTTCCCCTTTCACATTCTGACTACATCTGGGACACATTTCCAAGCTTTTGTCACCCATTGGTTCCTGAACCAGTCCATATTTTATGGTTAAGCTAAAGTGTATCTTTTAGAAAAAGACTTTAAAGGCTTCAAGTGATGGAGACCCCACTACATCCCTAGTGAAATTTAATTCCCCTCCCTGTTAACACTGTGCACAGTATTTCTTGTCTGAATTTGTCCAGCTTCAGCAACACAGCCACTGAATCTCGTTCTGCCTTTGTCCATGAGATTAAAGAGCCTTCTGCCATCAAATATCTCTTCCCAATCTTTTCTCTAAAACGTATGCTCTTGTTTAAATGGCAATGAATTCAGGGAAGTTCTCTGGCCTGTTATGCTGGACAGGGCCGGCTTTAGGAAGTGCAGGGCCCAATTCGAACATTTTTGGCGGGGCCCCGGCAGGGATGTCTAAAAAAAAAAACACACACACACAAAAAAACCCTCTGCTTCTACCACCCCGGCCCTTTAAATAGCCGAGGGAGCCCTGGGGAAGCGGCGGGCCTCCAGTGGCTATTTAAAGGGCTGGGGCGGTAGAAGCAAGGGGAGCCCCGGACTTTTTAAATAGCCCCCAGAGCCCCACAGCCCTACCCCAGGTCTCCAGAAGTGGGGCTCTGGTGGCAATTTAAAGGGCCTGGGGCTCCAGCCCCTGCTGGGAGCCCCAGGCCCTTTACATTGCCCTCTGGGGAAGCCGCCCGCCCCGGTACAGCATACCGGCGGCAGCGAGGGCGCGCGGCCTGCTTAGGCACGGGGTCCGATTCAGGGGAATCACCTGAATTGGCCTAAAGCCGGCCCTGATGCTGGAGGTCAGACTAGATGACCGTGGTCCTGCCTGGCTATGAATCTATGTTGGTACTTACAGGCACTAGTTATGCACATGGCTTTGCCTACATGGGAAAGTTGCTCTGGGTTAAATTGTTTTTTAAACCATTTGACTTCACTGGATGCAAAATCCTGTGTGGATGCTCTTAGTTGGGATTAAGACCAGTTGATCTGGGTTTATTTTAAACCTCTTCCCAACTAGTTTACTAAACCCAAAAAAGCAACTCCCAAAGCCCCTGCGTTTGGATTTTTCACACACCCCATCTAAGTTAAACGACGGCAGCTTTGCAGAGCAGGCCATTTGCTCATGTATGGGAGGGGAAGCAGATACGCTGGCGGGGGAGGGAACTGCCTCCCATCTTTGGGGGTAGTTATCCTGGGGTGGGGGTAATTGCTCCCATTATTTGGGGGGCAGATATCCTGGAGAAAGTATGTGTGTGTGTATGTGTATATATATATATGGGGAACAGGTACACTGGGGTGAGGTAATTGCCCCCAGTACATTGGGGGTCAGGTACGCTGGGGTGGGGGGGGGGTGCTATCCTAGGGGGAGCCGGGTTCATTTCTCCCAGCCCTTTCCTCTCAGACTCAGGTACTAAGACACAAAATGGCGACTGTATCGGCTGAAGCAGGGTGCGGGGCATTTGAGAACTCATCGGCGACCACCCAATCAAAAGCAAGCCTTGCAGTTGCTAGGCAGCTTAGAGATCTCGGCTCTTTGGGATTGGAGAGAACTAGCCAAACAAAAAATTCAGCAGCCCCCCCGTATGGTTGGGCCCCAGAGGCCTCAAACACCCGCCTAAACCGATCGCTATGTACGTAGGCAGCGCGAGGGCGGCAGGTACTCAGGGGGAGACTGCGCGTGCGCAGCTAAATGGTTAGCTCGAAGACGCTGCATGCGGTTTTTACGGCGGCTGAGGAAAAACAATTGGAGTCTGCGCACAGCGTCAACGAGTGGGAGGGGCGCGTGCGCCTTTTCGTGCCCAGGCGATGTGCGCATGTGCAGTTGCGTGGGTTGTGGGGAGAATGCGCGTGCGCCATGTCCGATTTCGGCGGCCGTTGGGGAGCCCCGCCTGCATATTGGTGAGCCGAGGGGCCCGTTGGACTCTGCGCCTGCGCGACGGCGTGGGCGGCCTCGAGCCCGCGCTTGCGCAGTGAGCGGCCGAAGCGACGCTTGGAGGCTGCGCGTGCGCCTTGATGGGACTAGCCTCCCGCGCTTGCGCGGTGGTCCACCCGTGCGGTGGACGCGCTTGCGCTGTGGTGTTGCGAGGCGGCGGTGGGGTTCGGCGCATGCGCAGTAACGGCGCGGGCGGCCGAGGCGCTGGGTCGGTCGGAGTCTTTCGCTCGCTGCCTTGTCCCCCCCTTGCCATGGACGTGAAGCGTTTGAAGGTGACTGAGCTGCGCGCTGAGCTGGGTCGCCGTGGTCTCGACTCCCGTGGGCTGAAGGTGGAGCTTGCCCAGCGGCTACAGGAGGCCCTGGACGCCGAGATGCTGGCGGCCGGGCCCGAGGAGGGCGGCGCTGCTGGGGCCTGCTCTGGGGTGGAGCCGGGGCCTGCGGGGGGCCCGGTCGGAGCCCATCCGCGTGGGGAGGGCGACGACGACGAGGACGAAGAGGAGGAGGAGGAAGAAGAAGAAGAGGAGGAGGACGAGGAGGCGCTGTTGGCTGACGAGGAGTCTACGCCGGCCTTGGGCGGGGAGGCCCAGCCTCAGCCCGGGCCCCAGGAAGAGGCGGCCCAAGCCCAGGCGCAGTCCCAGCCCGAGGGGAGCGACGGGGGCGGCATGAATGGAGCCGAGCAGCCGCAGGAGGAGGGGCCCAGCGGGGACGAGGCGGCGGCGGCCGAGGCTGAGAGCAAAGAGGGGGGCGAGGAGCCCGGTGAGGCCCCAGATGGGGTGGGGGGAACATCCACCGTAGGTGACTCCCGCCGATTCCTCCTCCCCACCACGGGGACCGCCATAGGTCATGCCCCGCACATCTTGGTCATCTCCCGAACATCCTGTTACTCTCTCCCACCCACCCGCGGGGAACCCCATAGGTCCTCGCAACCCCCTTTCCCTGCACATCCGGGTCCTATCCCACATCTTCCATGGAATTACCTTACCCTGCACATTCGTTCCCTTTATCCTACACATCCAGGCCCCTTCCCACATCTCTCATGGGGATCTCTTACCCCCACCAGTTTCTCTTTATCCTGCGTATCTGGGACCGTTCCCTTACCTCATATCTAAACATCCTACAGGATACCTCACGTTACCCCACGCATCCTGGTCCACTTTCCCCCAGCTCTTTACTCCTATTTCCCCAATTCTTTTTCTCCAGTATCACTGCAGCAGGTATTTGGAGGAGCAGACCAGAACATTGGGAGGTTCTAGTTTCTGACATGTTAGATAAATGGGTGTCTGTAAACCTGTGGCATAATATTTTAAATATTCCAAGTTCATTTATACAATTCGTGGTACATATGCAGGATCAGAGGAAATCCATATAACTTTACAATTTGGAAGGCACAAACTGCCCTGCCTCCTGAAAGGGTATTTCCAGGCTCAGTGATAACATCCCTGTATATAATTCACTATTGCACTTGTTCTAAACATCTCTTTGCACTGGCTTTTGATTCAGAAATCCTATGTCTTGTGCATGGGCTATAAACTCCAGAAGGGGGTTACAGGGTGTAAAGGGAAAGTCCTATCAGCGCCGATGGAATGGCTTGACAGTTCTCTTTATTGGTGTCGTTTTGGAATAAAATCTTAATCTGTTTTAAATTGAAAGTAGTTCCAGGTGCCAGCACTTGTCACTAAGTCTGTTGTCAATTTTAGTGATGAGTGTTGGTACCTAAACACACTGTAACATTTTTTTCTGTCTCCCCATGAAATCTAAAGAAAAAAATACAGAAAGAGGGAGGGAAACCGACTATAAACAAACCATTGTCAAAGGTCCATAGCAAACAAACAATTTTGCTAAACCTTGTTGTTGCAGGGTAGTTGTAGTGGTGCTGGTCTCAGGATATTAGAGAGACAAGATCCAAAGTAATATCTTTTATTAGAGAGTTCTTCAGGTCTATATAAGCTCGAAAGCTTGTCTCACCAACAGAAGTTAATCTAATAAAAGATACGATCTTGCCCACATTTTGTCTCTAATTTTTCTAAACTTATAGTCATCTTTGCTATTTCCCACAATAAAATATTGGGGGGAGGGGGAGTTCAGTGCAAAGTTTTATATTTGAGAGACTTTCCAGGTTAATTACTAGCTGTTTGTCATTAATTGGTATGAATTTGTAAAATAGCAAATGAAAACAATACGTGATAGAAAGTATTGATTAATAAAAAGCTGAGCCTCATTTTGGCATCACCCCCTCTTTTCTGTTCCCTTATTTTGGTTTCTAAGATGTTTGGAGGAGGGGGAAGCCCATCTGACCATTAAAAAATAAATAAATAAGTTGGATTTTTTTTTCTGGGTTCTGGTTTGCTTAGATTTATATTACTATTACAAGTACAGCTTCATTTCCTCTATAAAATATATGCATGTGGCTACAAACAGAGACCTTGATCTTTCAAACACACATTTAATTTTACTACCAGGACCATCCTGTCCCATCCCGTTTCCCCCCTGCCTCCTCTTGAATTAGGGGGACTCAAAGATAAGCACGTGCATAAATATTTGCAGGATCCAAACCTGGGGGGGAAAAACCTTAAAGCCCCAAAGTAGGAAAAATATAAAAATGCAAAATTAAAAAAATTAGAATACATTAAAAACAAATCTTCTCCTGGATTCTCATGGCAACACCAGACTGAAGAGGGTTGTTTCTCTGGTGGGAGCTTTACCTGCACTCTTTAGGGCATATCCATGTTCTCAGCTATTTGTAGGTGAAACATGGGATATTAATACTGATACTTAGTGCTTATACGGCTCTCTTCATCCTCAGACAATTACAGATGTTACTAATTAACTAATGAACATTGAACCCAGGTTTTGGTATGTAAGTTAGGGAGAAACTGAATTCAAAATGTTTTGCTTCTAAGAACACTTTAGTTCTTCAATGCACATCTGTGTTACTGATTCAACTTCAAGTCTAGTCAGTTTTAAAACGTTAAAAATAGTTTCTGGTACTAATCATACCCCTGAGTACATCTGTAAATTTTTGTTTTTATAAAATCCTATTTTGTTTCTGAAATTTTGTATTCTCCCAAGCTGCTGTGTGAAAGATGCACACGAACAAAATGGGAAATAGCAAAACTGGCTCTAATAAAATTACTGTAAAATGCACAAATTAAACATACTGAAATTCAGAATCTTCTGATTTTAGTGATCTTGGATGTCACTTTACAATCGGCGAAAGTCAGGCAGAAGTGTAATTGTTAAGCTGATGGTGTCCCATTAACAGTTTTGGGGTTTTTTAAGTTTAATGAAATGACCAGATTTTTTATAGAATGTCCATGAGACAGAAGCATTTTATAGGTGTCATCTTATTGCCAGGAGGACATGGCTTTGGTGTTGCATTCTTTAGGTTTTGTGTCACTTTCAGTAAGGCTTGCTGACTTTTTCTTCTGTCCCTTACAGCGGACGAAGAGGATGAAGATAAATCAAAGCCAACAGGCTCAGATGGAGAGCGGCGAGGGGTTAAGAGACAACGTGAAGAAAAAGAAGAACATGGCCGTGCTTATTATGAATTCCGAGAGGAGGCTTACAATAGCCGGTGAGCAGAAGGGAATCTTTGGTCCTGGTTTTACTGGCAATCCAAGTCACTTCCCAGGCAATGAATGAAACTAGATTTGATCAGCTAGTTCTGGGGTTAGACAGACATTGCATGTGGATGCAGGGAAAAGGATAGAATTTGGTTTGGGACTATAAGACAGAATGTGTGTTCTTGTTTTATATTCTGTTGTTTTCCCTATTCTAAATTGTTCTTATTCCTGGATGTTCTTTGATATCTGATTGCTTGTTTCTTCTCTCACTCCTGCCTAGGTCTAAGTCTCCACCACCACCAGAAGAGGAACCGAGAGAGGAAGATGATGAAACTGTTGTGATCCTGGACACATGTATGTATAGGCCATGTGGTAGTTATTTGATGTATAGTAAATTTAAAGTTCAGAGATTTAATTATTGGGTATATAATTTGAGAAACCAAGCATCATAGCTAATGGGGTGTGTGTCAGAATAACAGAGGCCACTCTACTCCTTCTGCCGCCATAGGATTTACAGGAGATTGTGTAAGTGGAACTCTCCAGCTGGAACATTTCTAATTCTTTTTGATCTTTTGGGCGATATATGGGGGTACTTGGGTAAGTGCAGCATTAATGCAGTAGCACTAGAGCAGTGGTTTTCAGCCTGTGGTCTGCGGACTCTTGGGGGTTTGAAGACTATGTCTAAGATTTCCAAAGGTGTCCGCACCACCATTCAACATTTTTTAGGAATCCGCAAATGAAAAAAGGTTGAAAACCACTACACTAGAGCAACCTTTGGGCCTGCCTAGCGTTGGAACAGTGGAATGGTAGAAAACTGCCTTCGAACATGTCAGTTTCTATCTGGATATGAGCCCGACTATTACTGGTGCTTGTGGGGTCTAATGCTTTTTGAGTAAATCTGAAAAAGGAACTTAGAGTAAACTGATCTCTTCTTTCTGACAGATACATCTGATCTCCACTTCAAAGCAAGCAAGGACCGCTATGGAGGACAACCTCTCTTCTCAGAGAAGTTCCCCTCCCTTTGGTCTGGGGCAAGGAGCACCCATGGAGTGACAAAGGGGAAAGTCTGCTTTGAGGCAAAGGTGGGGCACTTGCTAGATGGATGTGCTGAGTCTGTATGTTGGGAAGTGGCATGTGTGTTCTGTTGGGTAACTGGCACTTTCAACACTGAATGAGATGTTGGGTCTGTGCTAGTCTAATTTAATCAGGAATGTAGTGTATTTAATTTAACGGATTGAAATGTAGAGCAGTTCATGGGGGGCGGGGTGTAACAAGGTCTGGATAAGGTGCTGTGGTGATGAGAAGATCCTGCCCAGAGTGTTGAGAGAGGCAATCTGTCAGAATTAACTCTTTGGCCTTGGCTCTGTTTAAAAATGCAAATGTAGACCTACTTTTTGTGGCAGTTAGAGCCAAATTTCTGATTAAAATTATTTGATTGTACCCTTTTGCTGCTTTGAATATAGAGAAGGCCTGCAAATTCTTAAGGTTTTTTTTTCCTGCTTTGAAATATCAGGATTATCAAGTCTGGGCTCCCCTAGTTTGCTGGAGGGCATCTAGAGGGGAGAGGGGGATGGGACGGGGAGGGGGTTGGTTGTTTTTGTGAGCCTTCTGTCCTTAATTGAAGGGTTATGGAGGGTTTAGTCTTTAGCAAAGATTTCCTTTCTTCGAAGTGTTAATTATGCATCCCAATCATACAGGTGTTCTCAAAGCAGAGTTGTAATCAGTCTAGATAAAACTCCCTTTATCTCTTTATTGCTCAGCTGTCAGTCTTTTATGATACTAACTCCACTAGCTCTTCATTCACAGCAGCCTCTGTCTAACCTAGTCGTAGATATCTAATGTATAAAAGTATCAGGGGGTAGCCGTGTTAGTCTGTATCTACAAAAACAACAAGGAGTCTGGTGACACCTTAAAGACTAACAGATTTATTTGGGCATAAGCTTTCGTGGGTAAAAACCTCACTTCTTCGGATGTATAAAAGCTTTTCTTAAAACACCTTTCAGGCTGCTTTCATCCTGCCTGGGGAAAATGAAAAGAGCACAACACTTACATTTAAATGCTGAGTTTTTGTGAGCGTATGTCACAACATATCTCTTTGTGGTGGAATTTCCCATATAAAGCAATTGTTTTATTTTGGGAAAAAAAAAATTCCCCACTGTTTCACCGATAGCTGCTCTGCCTTGGGTATTGGTGTACCCATACGCTGACAGGAATCAGTTTTGCATAGAATACATTCTTCCTTAGGTTTACCCTTATCACTTCAGTCTCCCATTTGAGAGAATTTCTAGTTGGTGGATCTCCTCTCTGATGGGAATAATCATGAGGATGCTGGTTGAGGCTCAGAATTTGGCAGTCTTGTTAAATGGGTTTCAGAACATAAATCTATTCATCCCAATTCTGAGACAGGCTGCCAAAATCTCTCACTCAAAATTGCAACACAAGTTTCTATGTGGTGCAGGTTCCCAGTGCTGTCTTCCACTCCTGCTACTGTCTCTGATCTTGTGAGATAATGGGTGGATGGAGACTGTAGAGCCTTGTAAAGGGAAGCAAGTGAGTATAGTCCTACCAGTGCAGTCTCTAATCCAAGCAATAGCCCTGCCACGCAAGGATTGGCTGGGGGAGCATACCTTGGTCAGGTCTCTCACTAGGCTCTGCACCAAAGGAATAGACTATAGAAATATTGTTTGTTCTAAGCCTTGGGGAATCAACTTCTAAATGGCTGAGGTGATTTGGTGCTGCTGCTATGTAGTGACTGTTAGGGTATCTGACATGAATGCCTGTCTGCTGGAAGCAGATGAGATCTGTATTTGAATAGGCTACAGAGAAAGTAGGGGAAATACCCCATTACCTCTGGCTTTGGTACAGAGACCTGTGACCTGCGCATGCCTCCAGCTTATGTAAATCCAGATGTGACTAGCACCTGAAGGAAGATTATAGTCTCGGAGAGGCCTAACTCTAGCTTTGCACACAACATGCTAAATGACTCCTTCTCTTTTATTTGTCTAGGTAACACAGAATCTCCCAGTGAAGGAAGGCAGTACGGAGGTCCCGCTTCTTCGGGTTGGATGGTCTGTGGATTTCTCTCGTTCCCAGCTAGGTAACTGAGCTCATTTTTCTGTTATGTTAGCTATGAGCTGGGGCAGGTTACAGAGCTGTTGAGCTGCTGCTGCAGCCTGGGCTGGGATTTTCTAAGCGCTGCAGTGGAAAACTCTTTTCCAGTTTGGCTCAGCAGTGACACAGTTTGGGAAAACGTGTGTAATAGCTGCTGCTCTTTTCCAGGTGAGGATGAGTTTTCTTATGGCTATGATGGACGAGGGTTGAAGGCTGAAAATGGGCAGTTTGAAGAGTTTGGTCAGCCCTTTGGGGAGAATGATGTGATTAGTTGCTTTGCGGTAAGTGCTGTAGATCAGTGGTTCTCAACCAGGAGTCTGGGGCCCTCTGGGGGGGCCACGAGCAAGTTTTGGGGGGCCACCAAGCAAGGCCAGCATTAGACTTGCTGGGGCCCAGGGCAGAAAGCTGACATCCCAGCACCCTGGGGCTGAAGTCTGGCCCCTGAACCCTACCACCCAGGGCTGAAGCCAAAGCCTAAGCAATATAGCTTTGTGGGAGCCCCTGTGGCATGGGGCCTCACGCATTTGCCCTGCTTGCTAGTCCCTAACTCCAACCCTGGCTTTTATATGCAGAAAACCAGTTATTGTGGCACAGGTGGGCCGTGGAGTTTTTATAGCATGTTGGGGGGGGGGGTTGTCTCCGAAAGAAAAAGGTTGAGAACCCCTGCTGTAGCTAAGGCCCGTGGTTGCCATCTCGGGGGAGAAGGAAGACTTCTATCCTTGCATCCAAAATATATGTGAAGTGTCTTTCCTCCTGTTCGTGCAGGAACCTGCTGAGAGATGGATTTGGAGGAAAGACAATGAAGGGAGAAATAGTGGCCACCCCTCAAAACTTGCTGGTCATAGGATTCTTGTGTTCTTTGTTGTCCTAGAACTTTGAGAGTGAAGAGGTGGAGCTGTCCTTCTCCAAGAATGGGGAGGAACTGGGAGTGGCCTTCCGGATCAGTAAAGAATCTCTCGCTGACAGAGCCCTCCTGCCACACGTGCTGTGCAAAAACTGTGTGGTTGAATTGAACTTCGGTCAGAAGGAGGAGCCCTTCTTCCCAATTCCTGAGGAATATGTGTTCATCCACGCCATCCCGGTTGAGGACCGAGTGCGCACACCTCTTCCGCCCAAAACTACAGAGGAGTGTGAGGTAATGGGGTTTGTTCCAGACAGGCCTAGTTATTGCTTGTAAGGAGTCAGCATGGCTGTGAGTTAGTGGCTGTGTTGCGTGGCATATTGGTCTGTTTTTTTTTAAAGGAAAACTTGACGTACATATGGAAAGAGCCATTCCCTGCAAGGCATGGTGTTGACTGTTACTGTTTCTACTCAGATATTTAATCATTTCAGCTCTTTCTCCTCTAACCTCTGTGTGGTGCTTCCTGCAGGTACTGCTGATGGTTGGACTGCCAGGGTCTGGGAAGACCCAGTGGGCACAGAAGTACACCCAGGAAAATCAAGAGAAACGATACAACATCTTGGGAACAGAGACTGTTCTCTACCAGATGAGGGTAAGCCCTTCCCTTGGGTAGAGTGGTATCACTTAGAGCCTTCACTGGGCTGGGCTGGCTGGACAATCCTAGAAAGTATAGTGTGTTTATATCCCCTTGCCAATGTTCTGCTATAACTATGGCATTGCAGAAAATTGCTTAGTGGAGTAGTAAGGGGAGGGGACTCCTCTGATAACAGCAGAAAGGGGTGGGTTTTCCCCTCTTTTAAGGTCAATCTGTACATGACTCCAGGCTGAAGAAGGCTTCAGCTCCAGAGGGCAGAACTAGTGGCCGAGCTATGGGAATTGCATTATGGGTTATCTCTGCACCAATAGCTTGTGTCTGACACCTGTGCTAGAGATGGGTAACCACAGGGCTGGTAGAATACTGTGTGTATCTGAAGAATCTCTTATTGATGCCCCTTTTCCTCTTGCCAGACAAAGGGCCTTGAGGATGAAGAGATGGATCCCAAGAGCCGAGACCTGTTAATCCAGCAAGCTGCCCAGTGCCTTAGCAAGCTGGTCCAGATTGCTCCCAGGGCAAAGAGAAACTACATTCTTGATCAGGTATTGTTACTAAATCCCAGTGACTTCCTGACCTGAGCAACTTTGACTTCAGGGCATGCTGAGCATGCTCCTCAGCTCATGTCCCATTCTGATTGGAGGGGATCCAGACTGGGCTGAGTTAGTGGCAGATGAATTTCTGAAACCCGTTTCTTTTCCCCCCTCAGTGTAATGTGTATAACTCCGGCCAGCGACGGAAGCTGCTTGCCTTCAAGGGTTTCTCTCGCAAGGTGGTTGTGATTGTCCCCAATGAGGAAGACTGGAAGAAGAGGCTGGAGCTGAGGAAGGAGGTTGAGGGGGAGGATGTGCCTGAATCGGTGATGCTGGAAATGAAAGGTAGACAGGCTCAACCAAGCCTGTTGCATTGTGCTGCAGCATCTCTAACAATCTTTAAATAATTCAGAGAAACTAGCTAGTTCCAGACAGTCCTGGGCAGTGGTAGGAGCCCAGGTGCCCCTTTGGGGTGATGGGGTAGGAAGTCTATTAACCTCCTGAATCTCTTCTCTGCTGGGAAATAGGGTCTTGAGCCACTGAAAGCTGCCTTGATCTTGTGAACTCTCTTGCTGTTTCCATTTTAACGCAGCTAACTTCTCACTTCCGGAGAAGAGTGATTACTTAGATGAGGTGATGTATGAAGAGCTGGTGAAGGAGGAGGCCCAGCCACTGGTCACCAAATACAAGGAGGAGGCCAGAAAACTGCTCCCTCCATCTGAGAAACGGGCAAACCGTCGCAATAATCGCAACAAGCGCAACCGTCAGAACCGCAACCGTGGCCAGGGATATGGTGAGGCTCTGTAGGGGCTGGGCAGCACTGCCTCTCTGGTCTCTTTTGTATCTAAAGGCTCCTTTTGCCGTATTCTCTTGATGTCAAGGCAAACTGTAAGGATTCTGCTCCCTAGGTTTTGAAGAAGGGACTTGGGTCACTCAGTGCAGGCCTCAGCAAGAGAACAGAACTTTCTCATCACTCCAGCTTCTAGTTCTTTTCTCAAGCATCTCCCTTGCCCAGTTGCCCTCATGGTTTAACTTCCTCTTCCTTATTCAGAGCCTAAATTGTTCTTGTTTTGTGTTAACTGATGACTATGAGGGCTGAGATTTTCAAAAGCATTTGCCTTTCAGTGAAACTTGGGCTCCCTCCATGTCCTTAATTCTTACCGTCATGGCAGAAGTAACCATCTTAAATCTGTATTATAGAGTGCTCTGTTCCCATAAGCTTTTGTAACATTCACTGGTGACAAAAAATTTTCTTAATTTGCATGTGTCCTTTCTACCCCAAGACTTTGTTACTAGTCTTAAATGTGCATTATTCTGCTGCAGCATCACAATGATGTAAGCTCTTGCTTGTCTCAACTCTCCAGTCTCCTGCTTGGAGACAGCTTCCCCCTGCTGCCTTATTTATCTGAATTGAGTTTCTTCCCATTGCCCCATCTCTCTCACCTTTCCAGAACATCCTGCAGTTTCTCTCTCCCTCTGCTTTCCACTGCCGACAATTCTAACTTGTTCAGTATCCCTGACAAACAACACCCAGTGTATGTTTTACTTCCTGTAGGTTGTCAATATCTGTATGAATTAGTCCTAGTCATTCTATAGACTGCAGCAGAGCATTACTGGACATCTCTCCCTAGTGGGATGTTGTTCCATTAATGTTTATCCTCTGCTTATGGTGTGTTGCCTGTCTCATGCTATGCTTTTCCTATCCAAACACCATTCTTTCACTTTGCTTGGGAGCTACTGAGATTGGGATAAGTGGGGCTGCTGCTGGATTTTTCTGTCCTGTAACTTTATTGGAGGGCGTAAAATCTGGTATTGTCAGTTATACAGGAATCTTTGCTAGTTTCTCCTGACAGAATTTTTGTTTCTTCTTAATCTGTGGTTTCATTTCTCTCCTCCTGGCTCTAGCTGTTTTAACAGAAAAGTTAAACCTAGTCTAACCTTCTCCCTGTAGAGTCCTGGTTTCTTCTGTACTGAATGTTTGCTGCTCTCACTCCCCAAAGGGGAAACATGCAACCTGTAGGAAGTTACTGTGCTGACCTGTGATTAGAAAGTCCGACACCCTGTTTTGCCTTCTGCCATCAGGGGATTGCAAGTCATGGGGCAGCTCAGGAACAGTTTGACTCTTGCTGATGTTTACGAGGTACTGCATCTGTAGCTTTGTCTGAGACCTTACCTGTTTCCTTTCTAGTTGGTGGACAGCGCCGAGGTTATGACAATCGATCTTATGGACAGCAGCAGTACTGGGGGCAGCCTGGAAACAGAGGAGTGAGTGCAATAGTTCTGACTACTTCGTACCAAATACAGGCAGGGGGTATGGCGACTGTTGTTGATTTTTCCTCTACAGGGAAAGAGGGAGTTTTGGGGTGATTCTTGCTCCATTTTCTTCCCAAGAGGAGGAGGAGATGATAATACCTAGTTCTTGTGTGGTGATTCTTATCCATAGACCTCAGAGTACTTTACAAAGGAGGCCAGAAGCACAGAGAGGAAAGTGACTTGCCCAAGGACTCTGAGCATGCCAGTTGTAGAGCCAAGAATGGAACCCAGATGTTCTGAGTCTCAGTCCAGTGTTTTAGCCTCTAGGCCACACTTCCTCCCATGAGAAGGAGACTTTAAAAAATGTAACTTCTGTACTGATAGAGTCCTTCCTGGTAGCCTTTGGGATCCTTTGCACCATGCCTTACCTTTAAGCCACATCTTGTGCTCAGAGTATTGGCAGCCGTCACGTGCTGCATCTTGGTGGCTGCCTGAACCTAGGTGTTCTAGTCCTGGCTGCCACTGATTTGCTGTTTCCCCATCTCTAAAACAGGGATATGCACCCACCTCTGTATTAAATGCTTTGAGGTGTTTGGGTAGAAGAGACTATAGAACCCAATTATAGGAGGCTATGGGGTGCTGCCATAGCGTGGGGTTCTGCTTCCCACAGGACCATATCTTCCTACAGAGCACATTGTTTGGTGTGCTTAGGTAACCACCTCTGTTTTCACAGGGTTACCGTAACTTCTATGACCGGTACAGAGGGGACTATGATCGATTCTACGGACGCGAGTATGATTACAACAGATACCGAGATTACTACAGGCAGTACAACCGGGAGGTGAGTGGCCACACACCACGGGGCAGTAATAATTCTAGGAGGGGCTTTTCAACCTTAAGAGTAGATGTCTTGTGAACACCTCACTCCCATTTCCTGTTGCCATGGTCCACCTGTACAAGTATCATCCCAGCATCCCTGTAGCAACTATAGCAACTTTCCACGTGGAAGAGTGGTATTAAGAAAGTGTTTGGTTGTTTTTACCTGTCCTATTGAACACAGTTCCTGTTACTGCTTCTCTTATGTATTGGCAACAAGCCTTGACAGCTCCTTCTTGTTCCAATCACTTTTAGAGGTCTCTTGAGTTTTCATTGCAATGAAGAGCCTGGTCACCTGTAGGAGCAGTGTGGAAGCAAGCAGGTTAAGCCAGAGTAGCATACTCATAGTCGAGAGCTGCTGTCTTAGGACATTTATGAAGGAGGACAGGGGGCTGGGTAGACGCTATAGCTGTATGGTGATAGGGGGAACATGGCCTTTCCAGCACAGTGCCCCTGGATACAAACTGCTTCTGTTTTCCTTCCAGTGGCAGAACTACTACCAAGACAGAGACCGATACTACAGGAACTACTACGGATACCAAGGATATCGGTGAAATCCCAGCCGTCTTCACCCTTCAGCCAAGAAGCTGAATCTGCGGAGGTGTCTGCCACTTCCCAAAACACAACCAATGGAAACAGGGCTGTTGGGGGGAGAGCGGCGGCGGGGGGAGGGGTGGGAGGAGGAAAAAAACTGTAAATTTTTTTTTAAAAAGTTTGTTGAAAAGAATATTGTCTTATTCTATAAAACATTTCAAACCTAGTTAGATATTTGTAATCAAAATGTTTGCGCAGAGAGTGCAGCACTTAGCGCTGCCTGGCCTGTACCCTGTGATTGGGCAGGAAAACCACGTACCCTTTAACAACTTTCTAGAGCAGCTGGACTGGCAGCCGGGCAGGGAGGTGCAGGGGTTTGCAAGACGCGCTCAGTGATGGGAACTGAACATGTAAGAACCTGGAGGTACAGATGAGTGAGAATAGAGGGGCCAGCATCCCCTGGGGGCAGAGGGAGGGTTGGGAGGGCAGGCAATATTAATTATTGACTGATCATTCACTTGCAAAACTAATTTCCTTCCAGATTATCATTTGCTGATCTAGCTTTGGGGTGATGTGTGGGGCTCTGCCCACAGTGATTCTGGAGTCTAGTGCTCTTCAATGACTGGTGGAGAAGGGATCGTTTCCACCTTGGAAAATCTGGCAGAGTTCCACGTTCCTGTTGTTGTCTCGTCTGGCAGTGCTGTGCTGGCTGGATGTAACGTATCCCTGGCCAAAGGCTGTGCTTTTTAGCCGAGCAATTTGCTTCACCCCCCTGGCTATTAAATTTCCCTGAAAGCTTGTAAGTGGAATCATGAGCTGTTTTTTGGCAGAAGGAAGCACAGGAATTTAGTATGCCAGTCCCTAAATTCTCGGTCTTCCCTGGCCAAAGCAGACTGTCTTGGTGAGACTCTGTTCTCTTCCCCTCTCTCCCTCTCCCCCCCCCCCCCGCCCCGAGGCTAGCAGGCTTGGCCAGGTGCTGAATCATCTCTGTATAGTGTCTGTCCTCTTTAGTGGAAGAGAAGGAACATTTCTCAGGGTTTCTGCTGGATCTTTTCTTCATTAGAGCGTAATGTGTGTGTATATAGGCAACCCATGCAGTGTGTAACCTTCACCTGTGAGGAGATAGTGCTGAGAATAGCAACAATTTTATACCGTAAGAAGAGGGCACAGTTGTTAAAGTGCTCCTGTGGTTTTGATAAACTGGTAGAGCGTGTATATAGGAAACTAGGGAAGGCGATTGAGTGCAGTAGTGAACCAGCCTGAAGTGGGTGGGTGAGTGTGTGTGTGTGTGTGTGTGTGTCCTGCCCTCCTCTCCCCATGGCTTGAAAACAATAGGGTTTTGACTTTGATACACTCTTTAGCTGTGAAGTCTAGTCCCACAAGAGGGGAGGGGGGTTCCTGAGGACACTGTGTGAAGGAGGATCCCTTCAGTGCTTAGAGCGTGCTTCAGTATAAAATTTGGGTTGTCCTCAGTCTTCAGAATTTCTGTAAGATTGGGTGGGAGGAGGGGGCATAATTTCAGAAACTACTCCTTTCCCAGGCAAATAGTTATATGTGTTGGGGGGAGGAAGGGGGGCAGCTACTTCTGTAGGGTGTAGGGAGTGCATTCATGGCAGAAGTGGATGTGGCTGGCTTGTATTTTTTGGGCGGGGGGTGGGGGATTTATTTTCCCATTATGAAATTTAGCATTGATCTTTACTTTTGTTTCATTCTCATCAGTTTGACTCCCACCCTGCGATTCTTCCCCCATCCTTCTTTCCCAGTGAGGACAGGATACCCTCTTAGGAAGTGAATTGTAAATACTCTTGGTTCTGGTCCTATAGCCTTGGATTTGGCTAGGGAGCTAATTATGTCCAGTCCCCCTGTTCCTTTCCTTCCCCGCTTGAAGATTCTTCTACTCTCTGTGATTTGCTGTTTGAAATACAAACATTTTAATTTGTTTTAAAAATTGAATTTTTTTATTCTCTGCCTACCATTGCAAGCTGCCCTGTCTCCAATGCCCATTGTCACATCCCAGCCCAGACTAAACCCCTCCATCCAGACCAGGACATGGTGAGACATGGCTCTGCCAGCACCAGAGAGCACAGGTAACAGGTTGCTGGGATCTCCCAGCCCTGTGCCACTTCCCAATGCAAGAACTAGTGAGAAGCAGAGTTCTACTGTCTCCAACTGTGGTGCCGCATGTGTGTATCTGAACGTGTGACTGTGTGACGACCGTTTTTATAACAAAGCAACTGGTATTTTAAATGATGCTTCAGGCCACTAGAAAATACTCTTGGGAAAGGGGTAAAGGGGAGAAAGCAGGAGCCTGCAGTAGCTGTGTGCTGGCAAGGGTGTTCGATGCTTTGGTATTTTTAAAAAGTTCCTTCTTGGGGTGTGCTTTCCAATCGGTGGGGCACAGGCAGCCTCCAGTGTGCAGATCCTCCACAGCTTCATTGAGTTTGGGGGACATGGAGTAACTGGCACTGGAGCCAGGAAAGCTTAAATCACTTCAGGAGGCACTGTCATCGTTAACAGAATAACTTTTGAAGCTATAGTCCTTTTTAAATAAAACCTGTTTTTCTGGGGATGACTAGAACTGCCACATCCTTGTCCGTAAGACCAAGAGATCTTAGCGACTTCAGTAGATGTCTTTTTCTGCACATTTTTGTTAAAAAAAAGAGAAAAAAAAGAAAAATTAAATGGTAAACAAGGAAATGCAGCCTGTTTTAGATCTGTTAGTGTTTCATGATTGTACGTCTTAGTTGCTGTAGATGGAAAGCTTGAGAGAACATGAAGGCTGTAAATGTTTTTACAAACTGTAAAACGTTTTGAAGTGGCCAGTAAAAGGGTTTTACCATTGAACATGTAACTGTGTGGTTGTTTACATCTGTAACTTTCCTTCAGATTCTGGCAAATGTAGGCAATAGCTTCCATTTTTAGAATAAATAACCATTGGCTTGACTTAACATCCTTATGTTGCTGCACTGACTTTGTAGGTGTCTCTATACTTCGGCTCTTCTTCCCCTCTCCAATAAAAAGAAAACTCAAAAGACCAGACTAATTTTGCTCTTTTCATAAGGCTCCTTTATTCAGATCCCCTGCATTCACCCTGCCTGCTCTATGCTGTATAATGGAAGTCTTAGTACCCATGCAGCTCGCCGTGGGCCCTAGCATGGAGCAGCCTAGCACTTGGTGGTGATGCCCAGTGTCAGCGCACTGTTAAGCACTCCAGTGCTTTCCCTCTAGCTGTGCAAGGGATACCCCTTCTTCCCAAGAGCAGGCCCTGTGAGAGTGGCTGCTGCGGTTTGGTCCCTGGGAACCGTGTGCTGGGGTGTAATCTGAGCCTAACGGGGGGGCGGGGCTTGTGCTCCATGTGGGGAAGGGTCTCTTAGAACCTAAAAGCCCCTTTGCGACTGTCTGATCAGCCCTATTTGGCGCCGTACCTCCCTGCTTCGCTTCCCTCCACATCTGTCACCTCTGCAGCGTGCACGCGCCCTAATGTGCTCTTTTTTGGGGAGGGGGGGGTAGTGGCCCAGGCGGAGGCTGGGTCGGGGAATGGAGGCTCGGCACCTCCTTCGCCCCCAGCGGTTCTGGGGGCAGGCCTAGCCCCAGAGCCGGAGGGACCGTGGGCTGCTCCTTAGGAGGCTGGGCTGCCCCTCGCAACCCCACGTGGACGTTTCCAGACACGTGAGGCGACGCTGCCCGCGCTCCCTGTCTGGACATGGAGGCGGCGGCTCCGCTCCCGGGTGGGGCTCGGCGCAGCCGGAGCTCTGGGCTGCTGCTGGCCGGGTCGGGCCGGGCGCGGAGTGATGCCCAGGTGCTGGACGATGCGCTCGGCCGGCTGAGCGGGGCCACTGCGGCTATCACGGCCAACGTGCGGCGGATCAATGGGGCGCTGGAGAGGTAATGAGCCGGGGGACGCCGCCTGGGACGGATCCCTCTTCCCCAGGGCGCTGGAGAGAGGGCAAGCCCTGCCCCGCCTGGATCCTCTGGGGGGCTGGAGATGGAGCAACCGGTATCCCCCGCGGGTCCCACTTCCCTTCTTGGGATCCTTCCCTTGGAGACGTGTGTGGGGACTGCTCGTAGCGTCGGACAGGGACCGCCTCTGAAGTGGGCAATACCCCCACCCCAAATTGTCCCAGCCTCAGACCCGTTAATTCCCCGAGTCGCTGTATCTGAGGCAGCTTCCCCTGGGGACTGTAGAGTTTATATTGTTGCTAATTCTTGGGAGGGGTGGCCATAGGATGTTGGATACTGTATAGGGGGGTAGTACAGGTGTGGGTGAAGAAAGGATACAAGACATGGAGAGCAAGGGCAGTAGTTGCGGACATCAGGTAGTGGCAGTGGGATGGGCACAGGCAGCATCTATCTTCCCCATCTCAGCATTGCTCCTTTGCCAGGTGCATTATCCATCTAGCCTTAGTGACCCCCTGTGCTGGGCAGGGAGGACTTCTGGGTGTGGGGATGCGGGGGTCAAGGGCCACATCAGTAATGGAAGCTCTTCTCCCCTTTGCTCAGGATTCTGGAGGATAAAGCGACTGTGGAGGAGCTGAACCAAATGCTGGTGTGTCAAGGGAGGGGGACCTGGGCTAACAGTTTCTGTGCAGCACCAGATGAGTGCTAACACCCCTAACTGCCCCAGGGAATGGGTGAGAGCAGGAGTCGGTGCCCCATGCTGGGGCTCCCTCTCCCAGGGTGCTCCCAGGTACCACAACACAATGAGATCCCAGGCTCCCTGTTGCATTGGCAGAGCGTCCATTCCCGGTGGGGTTGCAGTCTGTGTGGTGTATGGTTCCATGAGGGTGGGTCGGGGAGCCATGTCCTATCTGCTGCAGACGTAGGCTGGGGTGGGATGATGATGGGAAGGTGGGGGTGTGGGAAGAGACTTCTGGAAGGAGCCCCACCAGGTGCTTGGCTCTGTCCTTCACTTACCCTCAGCCCTCTCTTCCAGAAGAGCTTTGAATCAAAGTAGCTATGGGATCATCCCAGAGAGAACCGCAACCACAGCCTTCTGCTTCCAAGAGACGTGCTGGGGCCCCATATCAGAGAGTGGGACCCAAGCTGCTCAAGGACATCCTGGCTTGTTGCCAGCTGGAAATGCTGCCTTCTTGAGGACACTAGGAACACCTTTGGATACTGGGTGGCAGTTTTGCCCCATGACACTTGGACATTTTCCAGTCCCTCTTTGTTCTCACAGATAATAAACATGAGACATGATCCCTGACATCCAGCTTGTCTTTGAATGTGTGACTCCCACCGCACCATCTGCCTCCCCTGGGTGCTGCCATGTTGGCTGTGGGATGGTCAAAACACAGGTGCCATCACATTGGTCCAGAGCAGTGTGGGCATCCTCATCTTGTTTCCTATTGTGGTATTGGGAGCAAGGAAATAATGCCTCTCCCAACACCACTAACACCCCTTTCCCTTGGGGTGGAGGGGTCATCTTCCTGGTTACTAGAACCAAAGCCACTGGGTGTGCAAGGGCCCTGCCATGAGCTCATGGGATCAGAAGGGGAATGGAGGCCTTCTTGGAGAGTGGATTCCAGAGCTGGGAGAGGTGGTGAGTGTTGTGGGTGGAGCAGAGGGTAGGCCCCATTTCTGGGTGCTGGAGTCACTGATATTTTGTCTGTGTATTTTGACTGGTTGGTGTGTTACATGTCCCCAACCCCACAGCCTGTGAGTCTCTTACAGGCCCAGCTACGGAGCCTGCCTCTTTAGCTCAAGCAGTAGCAGTTTATGCTTTAAACTGTGGAGGCCCTGATTCAATCCCTGCTGGGTCAGCCTCATGTATGCCCATGTGTTCAGATACCAGTGGCTT